GAAAAGCGAATAAACATACCGATGGATTACCAGCACTCTGTTTTGCGTTCGTTTCATTTGAGCATCATAAGGTGCTTCCAGAAGTTGATTACACGCATTTGCTGCTGATGACAAAAGAGCAGTGCCTGGAAAAAAGTTCAAATGTACACAAAGTTGACTGGAAAAAGTATCGCTACCTGTAGCGCAGGCCACAAGTGGTAACGCCGAAAAACTCACGGGAGCCATGAGGAAACCCGCAACTGCTGAAAACTAATGCTGCCATTCACGAAAAGATGAATTAAAATGGAAGAAAAAGAAATAGAAAAAGAAAATGTACGAAAAAGTCAGGTTTTATGAGATAAAGTTGGTTTGCCAACCTGTGGAGGTGATAAGCAAAGTGAGCCTCGACTTCGACAGTTGCAAATAAGCAGACAGTAATCCTCTTGACTCCATTTTTGTCCACAAGTCCAAAGATGTTTGAGGAACTAAAATTGATCTGATGAAAAATTAGATATAAAGAGTCAGTAAGCAGCATGTTACCTATCAAGTTGATTTGTTTTTTCTTCGTTTTCCTCTTCCCAAGTTCGAGTATCTGTAGTGGAGGACGTTTTTCGTGTACTGGTGTCGGCATCTCATCTTCGTGTGGTTTCGCCTGAAAAGTGGGGATTCACGATTGAAAAAATGAGAGAAGCGGTTGAAAAAGCGAAAACAGACCCTAGCCAATGCGTATTGCGAAGCTGTAGTGTGTACGAATGCTGAACTTGTGGATGGCCAAACACTAACCCGGGAACATATGAAAACCCCGTGCCGCCACATTATAAAACCTGCAAAGGCCAAAATTCGAAGGCATCAAAGAACGTTCAACACGACACACGCTCGAAGGAAGAATCTGATAAGAGTTCACGGAATTTCGTACGCAAGAATTGATCTTCCGAGTGAAAGCATGCGTAGTGCGCTCAGATTGCGTATTTCTGAACGCATAAATTATGTGAGAACATGGGAGGAGTTGAAGGCAGTGTCCAGGCAAAAACTTGATTTTGAGATTTTGTGCTTACCCGGGCC